TGGTAAAAGCACCCTAATTTTCTTTCCTAAAAGACCTAAATGAGTCTAAGAAAATGGGTTAAGATCAGTGTTCGAAGACACATGAGGTAAATTAGCGTTGCTGTGAGTAATGGTCTACTGATAAATTTAATCAGGATTACTTTCGACTAATACGTTGCTGAAATAAACACAGATAATTATAAGATTAGTTGGCAGTGATTTTCTGTAAGGGAAATCACTATTTTCTGGGAAAAGCTGGACAATTCATTTATAAACACATTTGGATCTTACGACAGAGATTGTCAGAAATTATGCTAGCAGTCTCAGACTAGTAAAGTATGGTTAAAGCTATTTTTCAAGATATGATAGTATAGTGAGCAAGTTATTTTACTACGAATGAACTTGCTCATTCCTAGAAAGTCATTTTATACCCTTAAGATTATTTGGCAAATACTACCAACGAACTCTCTTTGACAATATTACTACATTTATGGAGAGTAATTGATTTTTCATCAGCGACAATGGTCTTGTCCACCATACTAGAACTGCTCAAGCATAGTTCTCTAAATATTAAAAGCATTTTTGCTTGCTTTTCAATCTAAAATTAGGAGAATATGTACAGAGAATTCAGGGGAAAAATTCCAGCAAATTTCTTCCTTGACTAATCTTAACTGTAGAAATGTTTGATAAACATCTTGCTTGTTCTAGTTGCATTTAAATAGTTTAAATTTAATAAATAAATAAATAAATGCTTCTGCAAAAATATTCGTCTATATTTTATTAAGAATCTCAGTGGATGGATATTTAAATGTAAATATTTTAAGGTAGAAATATGTATATGTATCATATGCATTGGTTTTTCGTACATAAAAGAACAATCAGAAATAATCCACCAAAAATATTCTGTTGAAGTGTTGAGTATAATAACAACAATAATAATAATGTTACAAGTGTTCTGCTTATACCGGAAGCACTTTTAACGTACTCAACACATTACCTGCATATTAGGCAGCAGGTGAGCTCACATTAAAATCTCCCCCAGAGAGGAGTATTAAGGCCCGTCCACACGAGGACGCTCCCGACGTAGTTGACGTAACTTTTTTGACGCCGGCGTAAATTCGCATGACGCAGAAGACGTAAAACTGAGGACGCTCCTGTTCAGCTTTTTCGCCCGCGACGCGCGCGTTTAGCCAATAGCTCACTGAATTCGGATCACGTGTCATGATCTGCTCCAAAGTTTTGTTTACAGCTTTCAACATGGCGGCTGCGTTTAACGACGAAATACTTATCAACGAGATTCGACAATACCCACTGTTATGGGATCACAAACTCAAAGATTATCGCAATAAAGAAAGAAAAGAACTAATCTGGATAAAAATATCGAATAGTATAGGATACGACGGTAAGTCTGTTTCATATATTTCAAGGAACATTTTTGCATATATTATATTTTTTTGTGATATGAAACGTATGCTTACTAATGATTATAATATGCTTATTTTCAGTTAATACTATCAGACATCGATGGAAATGTCTGCGTGATAGATATGTTAGGGAGTGCAAGGCTCTAAAATCAAAAAATAGGAGTGGCTCTGAAGCTACAACTCCAAAATTTGGATTGTATGAGGAATTATCTTTTTTAAGAGATACAGTTAGTCATCGACCGTAAGTATTTCTAACAACTTTTAATATTTTAAAACGATTACTATATTCTGTATATTTAAAAATATCACAGCTATACGATATATATTCTCTACTTTTGTAGTTGAAATAATAAAAAATTGAATTACATCTTTAAATGTATAGTTCTGATATTGTTTATTATATAAATTTGCTAAGGGAATTTTGTAACTACATTAACAAGTGAGAATACTTTTTGTAAGGCTCAAAATATTCCTGAAGTTGTTAAGAATTTTATAACTGCTTTTCAAAATGGTATTTATTTAAGGAAATTTATATAAAATTTAATAGGTTGCTTACAGATTATTTTAACTAAGCTATATATGTAAAAGAGAAACACCTTGGAAGTGCAGTTTTGAATAAGAGAAAGACACATGTGGAAGAAGCCATGAAAACTATTTTGGAAGGTCCTTAAATGTGGCTCATGCTATAAGAAACGATTTCATTTTTTAAGTACAATTTGAAACAGAAATTTTTTTATGACATGCCTTGTTATCAATCATCAAATTAATTTTAAATTACATTGTGTTTAATAGCATTAAGCAATTTGAAACTGCTTGATGTACACTTAGCATCAAATTAAGAAACAAAAGTTCCATTTATGGAATTTACTACTGTGCATATGCTACATTTCATATAGACATTGTATGACAGCAGAAATGACATGTATTAACAGATGTTGCATTCATATTCTTAACAGCACTATGAATATATGTAACGTATACTGGAGGAGAGGGAGGGGATATCTTCTGCTCCAGTTTGTAAAATAATTTAAAGCTTAAGTTAATTGTTTCAGAAAACTAAACTACTTTTTTTATGCAAAAGCTCTTGTGCAGGGATTCCAAACTTTTTTTTTTTTTTTTTTTGCTTTGACTTCCTTTAAAAGGATGGTTTTCTTCAATGCTTTCTCTATTATATGTGGCATGAAACATAATCATAATACAAATAACTGCACAAGCATAACTGGTAAAATCCTAGTATACGCTACAGCCTTGACGCGATTTTGAAAATTATCGCCAACACCAAAAATGACCCAAACAACGTTCTATGTATAACTATATATATTCTTTAAATGACCCGTTAATACTTCATCGTATATGCCCCGTTTTTACTGCTCATCATAAAGTCGCCAAATCCCGTGTGAACAGGATACTAGGATTAAACCGTATAACTTAACGATAACATATTGAAATATAAACAAAAGTTTCAAGAAAAATTGATACATCTTTATTATAGCATTTTCCTAAATTTAATTGGTAATCAATGCACTGATATATCTGTGTTGGCTTATAGTACCCCTAAATTTAATTGGTAAACAACTGAGATGTAATATGCAGTGAGGTATAAGAACACACGACAAGATTTCCAGAAGATATTTCAGTCGATTAGTGATTTATGTCTTGGGGGGGGGGACTGCTGTAAGACCGATATACCAAAATTTTTTTATTAGATTTATTTTATATTATTTTCTCTATTATTATTATATTTAATTTTACAAATGTAAACAAGTTTTTAGAAACAACATTACAGAAAAGTTCCATTTTAATTAATGCAAATGCTGCACTTGATGTAATGATGCATTTTTTTAAGTGTTCGGCATAAAACTGCTTGGTTCTTATTAAGACTACTTCTTCATTCGAAAATGCTCAGCCTATTTCTTTTTTTACATTGAAAATTCTCATCTTGACTAAAGAGTACATCTACTACGTTAAAAAAAAAAGGGAAACTCGATAACATTATGTGATAACTTTTATTTTGGAATATTTCTCTTTGATAATATTTAATTCCTAAACTTCCATTTTGAATAAGACTTCTGCTTGAACATCCTCCTTCAATATAATCAACTCTTCTTACATCATAAAATCTAGATCAAATATTGATCTGAAATTGCAATTCAGAGGTTCCATGAGCCACTGACAAATTTAAATTTCCAATTTTGCAAGCATCTTGTATATAACAATACGTTTTCTTTTCTGAGAAAGTTTGCATTTTTATATTTTTGGTTGTGTTTTCTTTGTTCCTGCATTTATTCTTTTATACTGTACTTTTGCATAAATAATTTATACATTTTGAAAATGGGATTTTAAACTTCTATTAAGTAATTTTTATGTATTTTTTCCCTTATATTTATTTTGTATGGTGTTCTTCTTTACCACATGTGTAGTTTTATATCAATAAACAATTAATTATACATTTTTTTATTCAATGGGGGCTTGATTATTCCTATAAATTGTTGGTGCATATTTGCAATCGACCCTTTTGATCCTCATTGACCTCTGTGGGTTCAATATCAACCTTCTTAAAAACTATAAATATCTAGTTATGGCTATTAAATGATTCTTAATTTTAATATGTAGCTTCTTCCAACAAAGTTTGGCTACTTTACATGAAAATTGAAATGAAATGAATCTAAATTGTTACACACACACAATGTATATGTTTATGTATATATATTAATTTTATTTATATTTTCTCTTAATGTTTCCTCTATTTACAGGACCACGAGCAATATAATTGATGAGCCTTCACTCCCTATCGAAGACACAATGGAGTCATTTAATGACTCCATAAATTTTGATGAATCATTAAATGAAGAAGCTGCATGCAGCAGCCAACTTGTAGATGGTGGAGAGATTTTAGAACCTCCACTTAAAAAGCAAAAGAAAAAAGACATCGATTCAAAATTGTCGACTTATTTAGATTTGGCAGCAGCACGATTAAAATCACGGAGCCAAACATCAGATGATGAACACTTTCTACTAAGTCTCCGTGATGACTTTGGTGCTGTACCACGGGAAAAAAAAAAATGAATTAAAAAGAAGAATGTTGGAATTAATTGCAGAATATGTAAAATAAAAAATTATGTTTTTAATTTCTGTTTTATTATTTAAGACTATGTACTATGAGCATCATACTTAACATGACTTTAAAATTATTATTTAAGTGTTATGCATATTTTCTTTAAATAAAAACTAATTTTACATCCTATTAAATTAAGTAATGGAAACAAAAAATCTACTTTAAGCGTGTACACAGCATAGACATTTCAGGAAAATATAAAAGTGCATCGTACATTACAGAACAAGACAACAAAATGCCTCGGCAATAAGTATAAACTAAATTTTTAGCAATGATAAAAGCTGAATGATCTGAAAAAGATGTATACATAATGAAAATATTGTAATGTCAATAATGTCAGCATAATGATATTCACATCTTAACTTTATTGTAATATGAATCATATATTCATTCATAGCCAATAATTTGTAATATCACATAATGAAAAGTTATACTTAATTTTTAATTTTTTACAAACAAATATTATTTACATACATTTATCTTTAATTTGGGTGCACTGTCAGACCTATTCTTTTATTTTGCCAAGAGAGTGCTCCTTCATTTTCAAAATAACTACAAAATAAATCACGAACAGATCCAGAGGAAAATGAATAGTTATTGTTCCCTAATCTAAGAATTCTCACTAGACCATTGTTTGGAGATGTATCATCTCGCCAGAGTCCATTAGCTGTCTCAAGCATGGGTCTGTCGGCAAAATTAGGTGGGCAGTATTTATAATTATGAGATATAGACTCGTATTTCATCAAGAAATTGTGCAGGCAGCAACATGCCTGAACAACTAATGTTGCTGTCTGAGGCTGTGCAATAATTGGATTCCGTAAAATCCTCCAGCGAGCAGTCAAAATACCAAATGTGTTTTCTATACATCTTCTTGCCCTGGAGAGCCTATAATTGAAAATCCTTTTTGAATTACTTAAGTTTCTACCTGAATATGGACGCATGAAATTTTCTTTCAGTCCAAATGCTTCATCTCCAACGAAGACATGTGGCAGACATTTGGAGCTTTTTGGTAACTTTTTGTACCCAGGCAGAAATTCTTTATCACGAGAAAGCTTTTTCCCAAGGTTTGAAGCTGAGAAAATGCCTCCATCACTGATTCTGCCAAAATTTCCAATGTCCACCATTGTAAATAAATATGAAGCATCACATGCAGCCATCAAAACGATGCTGTGTGACCCTTTGTAATTGAAATAGGTAGAGCCAGCATGTGCTGGAGCCTGAATGACAACATGTTTGCCATCGACAGCTCCAACACAATTTGGGAAGTCCCACACTGTGCCATATTCTTCTACAGCTATTCTCTCATAATCACTTTTCTCTGGCTCTTTTAGATATACCGGCTGAAGAGCTGTCCATATAGCATTGCATGTCTCAGGCACCACAACTCCTACAGTAGATTTCCCAACACGAAAACTATATGCCAAAGAACTGTAGCTGTTTCCAGTTGCAAGGTGCCTAAAAAGAATATATATCACAAAGATTAAATATATGTAAAGTATAAATCACAACACATTTATAAACATATCAAATTGAAAGCAAGTTATTTTAAAAATACATCTACCAATGCATTATTTCACAGTTTATCATTTCAGCATAATTGGCAAATAAGTACTTCGATCAGAGTTTACATTCTTTATTGAGTTATGCACTAAAATATTTACTTTATGTTTAATATGGTAGATGTTTCTAAATAAAAAGAATGACTCTTAATATTAGAACTGCTGATGAGAAATAAAATATATATATTTCAATCAAGAAAGAAAATCTTCCATTTTGATGAATCATTTGCTTTTATTTTAAGTAAATCAAGACCTGTTTAGTGACTGATGAGTATGGCGTATAAAAGCGCTGTCCTAGCTGGATTCTTCGTTTTCCGCATGGATTTCGAACAGCATGCATCGTTACACACCAAAGCAGAGCTTGCCAACATGCATTTCATGTATGCATAAAGAAATGAATTAACTGTTCAAAGAATGTACAAGGAGCAATGTTACGGGGAGGTCTTACTTAAACCAGCTGTTTACAGACAAATGTGATTCCAGCATGATGGAGCCCCAGCTCACTTCAGTGGGAATGTCAGGATTGGATAGGATGGGGAGGAACTGGCCACTGTGTTCTCCTGATTTAACCTGCTTCGATTTCTTCTTTTTGGGGTCATATTAAAGGCTTCGTGTACAGGAGTCCAGTCACATCTGCAGGTAATCCTTGTTTCCCACTTGTCTGTTGTTGCTGGACATGTGCTCGACATACCTGACGTCTTTTCTAAAGTACGCTGATCCATGTGTCGCCACTGAATTTTGTGTCTTTGTTGGTAGCCACTCTTTCAAATGCCTATTGTAAACTGTTAATAATTTTTTTCTTTTGTCTTTACTTGTCTTTTCAGTTTCCTGTGATTCATACTGCTTTACGTGCTAGTCTTTAATGCGACATTACCACACATGCATTCCTATATGAAATCTGCTTATTCAGGTCCCCTCTGCCTGCCTTTACATTTTTGACATATAGTTTTGAACCACCCTGTATATGTACTCAGAAAAAGCTGTAATGTAACACAAGATAATACTCTTTTTCTAAAAAAATTACAGAGTATCATAAAAATTGTTACATTGCCTATTTTTAAAAAGACGTGTTTTACAAACATTGAAATATTTATTCTTGTATAGTGTTTCTGAAAAGGCATTCATATTAATTCATTTGCATAAATTACCAATGGACTATGTACCTTTCAATAATAAAATAGTACTAAATACACCATTTGAAAATTTAGAATCACATACATAAAAATTTAAGTTGAATTATTTATTTACATTTTATTTACCTCATTCATCATCAATAAACACTTAATGGTATATCTGCCTATTATGGGAGGGGGAAAACTTTCATGAAGAACTTTATAAAAGGAGTTCGTTTGTAGTTCTAATAATTATGCAAACACCCATGGGGAGGGGGAAAAAAACATGCACCTAAATAAGTTCCACACCTCTGGAACTAAGACCAGCATTTAAAGGCTTTAGTCACATAGTCAGTGACAGGCTTGAATGACTGAGAGTGTTTGGTTTAAAGGTCGGTAAGCAAGAAATAGAAAAATCAAAATGATTATCTCATTTGACATTCATATAAATATTGCAGAATAATTGAAATCAAATGAATGATAGAGAATTTATGCTTTTTTAACAACAACAACAAAAATCCTGCAATCAATAATAAATAGCAATGTTTGATATTCTAAATAAAAAACAAAAAGTAAAGGGTATCATGCATTAGAGTGTTTGTCAGACCAACTGCTAGAAGTTAAATTTTTAGAGAAAAACTTTTAATTATGAAATCTATTTTTCTTTTATTTTCCTTATTGTTAATAATTTATTTAAATTACAAGTCCATTATTAGTTGATGATAAACAAGAATAAAACTAATAAATAATTAATGTACTGCAGTTTCTTGCTTAAAGGGTTTTTTAAATTTCTTCCTTTAATCTGATTCATAATTTAGCACGGCTTAAAATCAGCTGGAGCCTGGCTTCAGTACTCCTCAATTTTTTAGTGAATTTTTTTTTTTTTTTCCAGGCAGAGAACCCAAATTAAATAAATTTTTTACTTTAACATATTTTTTTATTATATATCATACATTTATAGGATATATTTTATAATATTTTTCAGTATATTTATAGGAAATGCAAACTTACCTCAAACAAATGCTCAGCCTTTCTTCTGGACTCAGTGGAGCTCTCATATTTGTCTGATTTTTAATAAGCAAGGGGCTTACTAAAGCTGCAAGTCTATCAAACTGGTCGATACTCATCCTGAAGTAATTAAAAAATAATTCAGGATAATCGGTTCGCATACGAGGCAGTAAAGAAAAAAAATCTCCTTGAACAGGTCGCTCTAAATAAATCTTTCGAACCCATTCTCGCCGTTTTTTACGTTTTTGCCGCTGCTTAATGACTGTACTTAATAGTAATGTTTCATCTATCCAAAAATCATCTGAATCTGACATCGTGTAGCAAACTTACAGAAAGACAACTGCTCCGTTTACCCGGGAAACAACGCGATCTGACAGCGTCACGTGATTATTTTGCGCCAAATAATTCTATTGGTTAAACGCACTCGTCGCAAGCGTACTCGTTTGGACGCTGTTACGCAGGTAACGTAAATGCGCTTGCGTTATCTACGTCGGGAGCGTCCTCGTGTGGACGGGCCTTTAGAATCTTCCGCTTGCCGCAACGCACCGACTTCCGCAATCCACATGATGGCGGATATTTTAAAGTTGGACTTTCTCTGAAGCACCATTTCGCTATACTGACTTCCCATCATTATCAGTTCAGAAGGCAAAGAAATCGCAGAGGATGTGGAGCATATAGAAACCATTCAAAACTGACCTTTGCGCTGAAAGCAGACTAAATATTTTACAACAGTGTTTCCCAAACTGTATTCACAGAACACTGAAGTTCCGTAAACAGTCATTAGGTGTTTCGCGAAATATTATAATTAAAAGGAAGAAATATTTCCATTTTTAGCGTAACGGATAAAATATCATCTTTCACTGAATCGTTAATGAATCGAACAAAAGCTAATATCCTGAATTTCTTCACTAGAAGAGAATAAAATTGCCTTTTTCCTGCCTTAGATGAATTTACAAAGAAACAAAGTCTAAAAATAGACTATACAGTTTATAATGAAATATTGCAATATTTTCATGACTTGGTACCCTCGGTGAATATTTTCTACAGTGCAAGGAAGACCAAATTTTGGATTCACGGCAACAGTTATGCGCGCAGCCGGTTTCGAAAACTTAATTGATCTCACTACTGATTCTGGAAAAAAAAAAGTAAAACAAAAATTAAAAAAAGTAAAGAATTACCTTTAAACGAATTTTGAATAAGTTCGTCAGAAGATTATCTGAAATCATATTTTATTTCTTTTTGCGACAGCGCATTTTTGTAAGGCAGCGTTTTCACATTACTCTAAATCAAAATCCAAATATAGAAGCGATCTTGATACTGCATCTGATATAAGAATTCAGATTACTAATATTGTGTGCTTTAGATTAAACGAATCTCTAACTCGAAGACTTAAACATATAAAAGCTAAAAAAAGTGACTTAACATATTTGGTACTTACCTATTATCCCGTCGACTGTGAAAGTTGATTACCATCGAAGACTGAACATGGCGGAAATACAACCAAAGTTAAAGAGATTGCTCCCGTGGAATTCGAAAGAAACTACTACCTTTTTATTTAATAAGCTGTGGTGTTGCGCGGCCCCAACCTACACGCAACAATAATAGTGACTGCTATGAACTGGAAAGTACACAAACCTCTTAAGAAGGGTTTAACTCCCTTTTTATTCTACTTTAGAAGTTACAGATGCGTGCACTTGACGCTCACAAACTACGCCAACCCGGCGGTAAAATAAAAATAAGAAACTAAAAAGGAATAATAACAAGTTACTACCTACGAGGCTCTCTAAACGTAACTAACCTAACCGCGTTCTAAGATACCGCTGATATTTCAGCAAACTTCTGAATATTAAGTTGAAAGATTCAACTATCTGCCGAGGCAAGCACACAGGCCGAAACGCGCGGTTCTTCAATTTCTACCTAGCCACCTTGACGCTCGTGAAGCAAGAAAGCACACATTCGAACTCGTTTCCCTTCTATTTAACTCAAATTACTTCTGCTTAAAATTCTGCTACTAAAATTTACATACTCTGACATTGGCAATTCGAGGGGAAAGTAAGGCTTGACAGGAAAGATAGTTTAAACTTAGAATAAATGTTAGTTAAAATAAATATAAACCCTACAAAGCAATCAATACTCTACATGCTTAGGTTTTTGTTCTTTGTAAAAAGTCTTTCGTCAATTTCTGCCATTTTGTTAAGCCCTCTGGTTTTGCCTGCAGCTCTATTTAGAAAATTGCGAGTACAAACTTCCGGCAGATATTTCTCTTATCTACTACTGTTTATTTGACAATATTCAGCTGACTGTATATTCTTAAAGACACTCTGTTTAAAAGGTAGGATCGCGTAATTTTGAAAATAATCCACTGTTTTCCACTGTAATAATATTTTTAAGTGCATTAAATATTAAACGGATTAACATCACAGTAAATTCTTTTTCAGCTACAATTTTTACTTTTTACAATAAAAATATGTAGGCAATATGCATTTGAAAAAGAGTAATTTGGAACCACCAGTTCCTTAGTTTGGAGGTGCACAGTTTTCTTTAAACTATATATAGTAGCTTGAAATTAATTTCTTAGCATTGAAATTGACTATTTATCAGAGTCAAGTGTTGTTGGTTTTAAAATTCAAAGCCAGTGAATAAGATGATTCATATTCTGTTTTGGTTTTTGAAATTATGATCCAGTTAAAGAATAGAAACAGTGCGTAGCAAAAGAATCACAAGAAGGACGTATATTCCGAAAATTCGAATTTCCGGAAATGTCAATCGTTTCATATTTCACACATCATTAATTTTCACACAAAAAAAGATATCTGTTATCTATACGTAAAGAACATAGCATACCAGAGTAAAAATTTATGCTACCACATTTCAAAGAATCTAAAATATGCTTTTTTTTAAATTGCATCTTAGCAATAAATTTCTACAGTTCAATTGGTATCACCACACGTTTGAAAACTAAACATACAGGGGTAATTTAAATAACCAAATTATGTTATTTATTTTCATTCTATTTATTTAATTACTTATTCATGTTGGCTGTTCATGCCTGAGACTAAGTTTCTTACAGATGTGGAATAACTGGATTAGTTGTATTATTATATTAGGGCAAAGCACATAAAAGTTGTCTGTCTGTGGACTTTATGAGAAAAACTATACATGAAATAGGGCCATCAGATCCATCCACATGTACGCATGTAGGATGCCGTCCCCACCCATCCACATATGAGATGCGGTCCCCAACTAGCATGTGGGATCCACATGATTAAAATCTGTGAAAATACCATGGACCCAGCTCATTTAAACAGAGAAACGAGGGATTACAAGTATTTGGAGGCTTCAACTGTGCCACAGCTGGGGTAAAGCTGAGCTAATAATATATTATCACTACATAATTTGGAACAGTTAACTAATTCTGGTGCCCAAAATTAATAATATTTAAAATTATCATTATTCAGTCTATTCATTAAATAAAATATTATGTTGTTATTCTGTTAGATAACACAGAAAAATGGCACTCATATAAATATGTAAGTAAATAGGTATCCCTCATGAATTTTAAAATAAACTGAAGAATAAAAATGTTTATGCGTTGAAAACAACCTTAATTGACGAATTAAAACTGTGAAATAAGGATTTCTATTCTGCAAATTTCTGGTTATTTATATGGTGTAAAATTATTTTCAGTACTTATTTTTAAACATAAATTCTTTTACATTCCATGACTATAGCTTTTTATCACCTCTAACAGATTAGGCAACTCATTTCATGTTCCGATAATACTAAAACAGTTACATTAAAACCATCCATCTCTGAGCTTAAAGGTTTTGTAAATATGTTATTATTCTACCATTCTAAAGGAAATAACATTAAAGCTTTTCCCTTGCTTGAAATTTTTATTTTAGATCTGAATTACTTCGTCTCAACAATTGAAGATACTTCAAAGCATCGAAAAAAGATATTGTACAAAGGTCAAATTCTTTCTTACACTTTAATTCTGCAAATAAATAGTTACGGTAAATTTTAATTTGGTTATTGTTGCACAAGCTCTTCCATTAATTTTGATCTGAGTAGTAATATATCATAATTCTTTCCAGCATAGCTTTAGTTTTTGTGTTAATTAAATTCATTGATCTTTACCTTCAGTTACATAGAATGCTTTCATTAGAAAGTGCTCTGAGAGTAAGGTAACTAACATACTTATACGTAGTCTGGAATTCCTAAAGGACTTTTAATTAGTTAAAAAAGCTTGCTTCATTTGCGTTAAATATTTTACGCTCATCTACATCTTTCTATGATATGTTTATTCTTTTTTCTGTTTAGAAGACCATTTTTAATGCTCAACTGTGTTCTTATCTTATGGCGGTGAATATTCAGTTAAACAGCATATTACTTTTCTTTTTATATAATCTTTTAGATTAAACAGATTAAGCTTATAAAGGTATTGTTTTGCCTAACAATGTTCAAGTGACTAAGAACACACAGCGTGATAATTAATGAATGCCTTGATAGACTCTAGCAGCTTGTCACTCAAGTTATTACATATCGTATATTAGATGCCGTAGGAAATTAGAGTTTAAAAATGTCTAAACACTACTCAAGCCTTATCTTCGAACAAAAAAGACCTATATATTTCTGCTGTTTAACTAAAAACAGCAATGTTATCCAATATCACAATTACTTGCACATTTCGGATCGTCCTTTAGATCTTGTACCCGAAGTTTCAACATGAAATTGAAATTATGTGTATCTTCAAATATTTCATTCATTTGCTATTTTTGCAATATGTTTCATGAATTAACAAGTTCTTCTAGTGATACTGATAACTACTTAAGCTGAAACACGAAATGCTAAGAATTTCGTGATAGTTTCATTACAAACAGACAATGTATAAGGATGATACAGGAGAAATATCATCTAGAAATTAGAAGAGGGTAACCTACTCTCCTAGATTAAATTATACCTAGGAATTTCAGAAATTTTCTGTTGATTTGAAATGCAAATGATCGGCGTTTCATTGTATATAATAGTTTTCAGTTATATAGTTTGCTTAAAGGGAATCAAGACAGAAACATTGTGTGCGAATGTGTTAAGCCTAATATTAAATGAAAATATCCGCACATCAAAATTAAAGCGATAAATTTTACATATAAGTCGTGTCGCAATCCAAGTAGGTATGAATTTGTAATTTTCGGAATGCAGTGAATGTTGATGGAGAACATGGAACTTGCTCTTACTCAACAAATGCATCAACGGTAATATTCTGGAACAAGAATGGGAAATTTCTAAGACTTAAAGATAATAACGGACGGGAGCGTCGATAATGGTTGATTTTGACC